CAGCAAGGGCTTCGCAAAAAGGGCGGCAGTATACACAGACACACAGACAGAAAGACACCGGCCTCTACTTCGATCTCCCTCACTCCCTCACTCGCTGTTCCCGCCGCCTCACTCGCTGGGATCCGCACTCTCGGTATGAAATAAGGGGGGCGGCGTTGCTGCAAGGAGGGGGGGGGGGAATGGAACTAACCTGTTCAACTCTTGACGGGGGAGCATGCAGGAGGTGGAAGAAAAGGGAGTTGCCTGAAGGGACACCAAAAGTGTTGCAAGAAGAAACAGCGCATGGGGGGAACCGAAGTAAGATGCCGCATGAAATGTGGATTTAAAAGAAAATGATACTAATAATCATCACCATCACCATCAGTGGCGGAAGCCTCAACACTACGCAGCTCTTCTTTACGACCATCATTATTGCTAGTGCTGTGTGCACAGACGTGTCGTCCACAGAGGGAGACGAGAGAGAGAAAGAGAGAACAAAACACAAAGAAAAAAAACAGGAAAAAAAACTGTTTCTCAGTTTGTCTTCCTCTGCTCAGTCTCTCTTCTGAAATGTGCGGAAAAAGCACGCAAAAGCGATAAACAAAACAGAACCCAAACAAAAACAAAAAAAAATCAATTTGTGCCCAAGTAACCTCCAGCGTTACTTGGCAAATAAATTGTGTCGTCATCGTCCGACCACACAAACACAAACACAAACACACACACACATATATATATCTGATCAGCTGCCCTAGTTGCTCTGTGTTGGATTATTCATACTAACCTGTATGTGCATTATACTGCCTCTTTCCTTTCCATTACGCCTTCATTCACCACCACTTCTTTCTTACTTCTGCCGCTTGTACGTCTTACCCCAGAGCGTCGCGACACTCGCCGCAAATGCCGGTGAGGAGGCATTCAGCTGCGCAATGAGCGCCTCCACCTGCTCCACAACCTGAGTCTCGTATGCAGCGAATTCCGCCTGCAGATGCGTCTCCCCATAGAGCCGCTTTACTACCGCCACCTTCGCCGGCTCCTCACTGCCATAGTTCGCCTTGAACTCCGCCACCTGCGCATCGTTGGCCTTGCCAAGGAACGTCACGGCGAGCCACGAACACTTAGCGTCCTCGATGTCAGTACCGATCTTGCCGAGNGCATCGTTGGCCTTGCCAAGGAACGTCACGGCGAGCCACGAACACTTAGCGTCCTCGATGTCAGTACCGATCTTGCCGAGCTTCTCAGGGGGCGTGAAGCAGTCCATCACGTCATCCTGCACCTGGAAGTACTCGCCCATCAGCATGGCGATGTGCTCCGTCACAGCCATATCAACGGAGGTGGTCGCACCGCTTACAATGAGACCCATGACAAGCGGCAACAGATACGTGTAGTACGCTGTCTTGTGCTTGACGATGCGCTTGTAATTTTCGATGGTGAACTCGGCGTAGTCGGTTGTTATCGGTCGTGCCACCTCTGGGGAGAGCTTATTGGAGTCATACATGGAGGTCNTTTCGATGGTGAACTCGGCGTAGTCGGTTGTTATCGGTCGTGCCACCTCTGGGGAGAGCTTATTGGAGTCATACATGGAGGTCACATCGTACAGCTGTCCAATCGTGGTAATGTAGTCGACGGTATGGAAGCGGCGCAGCAGTGCTTCTAGGAACGGGCGTTCCGCGAAGTAGTGCAGTGCCATCATGTTGGCCCACGCTTTCAGAATGAGGCCATCGTTGATGGCGCTCTGCGTGGTGACGCCGGGGTAACGGTACCAGCACGGCTTGCCGCGGCGTGTCTTGCTGTTGTCCATGATGTCATCCTCCACTAGGAAGTGGGCCTGCAGGAACTCAATCATCCAGCCGCAAACGCAGGCGTCGTGCCGCACGCGCTCCTTTGTTGCCTCATCGTGTGGGGCAGCAGACAAGATCGCCTCGGCTACATTCAACACCGTGATACCCCGGTTGTACTTGCCCCCAAGGCATGTTGTGTCCATCATCTGGCGCAGGTAACTGATACGGTTGGGATCCATCTCGTAGTCTGTGCCCACCTGGTGCAGCAGGAAATTCCGGATCTCATCGTAGACCCACATGAACCTTTCCATAGTTGCCATCGGAGAAATAAATAGCAATTGGTGCGCTGTTCTATTCCTTTTTTGTTTTGCTTTGGAGTGTTTTGAGCGTGTGTGTGTGTTTTTTTTATGCGTATGAGTGTGAATTAATTGTATCTTCCGCCGGATCGCCACCTCAGCCGTGCAAACACACACACACACACACACACACACACCAACGAGCAAGATATAAAAAAAAAATGCAAAGAGGATAAAAANACACACACACACACACACACACCAACGAGCAAGATATAAAAAAAAAATGCAAAGAGGATAAAAATCACGGGCAGTAATGGTTCCTAACAACAGGGCACCACGCACGCACAAATACACAGCACCGATTCAGTTCTCCCACGCAGACCTCTCATCTCACACTGCACCCCACTACGTTTGTCCTCGCGCTGCGTGTGCGCCTCCCCACTTGTGAACAGCACCGTAATGGATAACAAATGTATACTATGCAGCAGTGCAGTGTGGCGTGGTGTGGTGGGGGGAGCTGGTGCATTGGTGCCTGTCGAGCTCTATCCCAGTATGCCGACCACACTCTCTACATTCTAACAACTGCGGCCATTTCCGTGCTGCAGTTGTTTCCATCTCTCTCAGTCAGTCTGTCAGTCTATCCGTCCGTCCGTTCGTCTGAATGTACCTCCCTCCATTTTACTCTCTTCACTCTCGTGTTGCTGCAAGCACTGCGCCCCTCCCGCTTTTTTCTTTTCACTGGTGGTCCCCAACAATCAGAACGGGGCCAGCAGCGCTGCCGCCGCGCATGCGGTCAGTTTCCTTCAGCAGTAAGTTGATCTCGTCCACGAGGCGCAGGCAATCGGTCTTGGCGCCGAGGTAGTAGCTCTCCTTGCCCTTCAGCCGCACGAACTCCTCCAACGAGAAGCTCGACTGCCGCAGGTGTCGCAGCCGTCCCTCTAACGTAGACATGGAGCGGAAGGCAGCGTCTTCGTTCAGCTGTTTCCGCATGTTTTCGTTTGTTGTACTCATCACATTCAGCTGCTGTTTACTGGAGTCGCGCAGTTTCGTTAGGAACGCCCGGTCTCTGACGAGCTCCGCGCGTCGGTTCTCGACGTTGTGGCGCAGCCCCTCCATATCACTGTACTTTATCATATCCTGGGACTGCTGCTCCATCTTTAGCTCGTGTGCCTGTAGTTCGGCCTTGATCTTGCTGTCGAGGTTTTCCACCTTGTCAAGCTCCACCTTGCGGTCTAGCAGCTCCTTCTCCAGGCGCTGGTGCGTCACTTGGTCGTTCTGGATCTGGTTGCGCTTCGCGTCCACCTCGCTCTCCAGCGCCTGCAGGGCACCAGGCGCACCCTCACGTGGCATCTGCTTGCGCAGCTCCAGCGCTTGTGAAATGCGCTCGAGCAGCAGCGCAATGCTGCTCTCCACCTGTGCAATTTTGTCCATCTCCTCCTTCTGCTTCGCAGGGAGAGTCTCCATGAAATTCTGCATCTCGCGGTCTTTTTCCTGGAGTTCTTGGAACGCCTTGAGGTTCTCGCCGCTGTAGCTCTTCAGCTCCTCGTCAAGAGCGTTGCAGCGACTCTTGGACTCGCCGAGGGCGTCACGTGTCTCGTTAACCTGTCGCTCCAGCACCTCAATGTCTCCACGTGCTGTCTTGACCTGCTTGAATAGAAGCTGTCGTTCTTCCTCAACGGACAAGGCGCACTGCTTTGTGAGCTCCTCCTTCAGCTGCCGCTTGCGCAGAATGTCGCGCAGCACATCTGCCGCCCGCTTCTTATCGGCGTCGTTGGCGAGTTTTGCCACGAGGAGCTCCTGCTTCGCTGTCAGCGTGCGCACTTGATGCTGGCGATTCAGCATCGCATCGGAGACAGTGAATGCATCGTCACGTGTGGTGCTGTACAGGGCGTAGTCCTGGTTCTCTGCGAGGATTCGTCGATCAAGATGCTGCATCTCATCCTCCAGCATCTGTAGGTTCTTCTTCGTCTGCGTTTCCACCTCCTTTGAGTTGAGAAACAACTGATCCACTTGCTTGCGCCGCTCAATATTTAGTTGTGTGAGCTTCATTCCCTGTTCCTTTACACTGTTGGCGTCTTGAGAGGTGCTCTTCTCCACAGCGAGGTTAATATCGGCGAGGGTACCCTTCAGCTTGGTAATTTCCTCGGTCAGGCTCTTATTGCGGTGCTGGAGCTGCACCAGCACGGAGCTGTTCTTTCCGATCAGCTCCTCCTGCTCATTGAGGTGCTCAATCTCCGTTGTCAGCTCCGTGATTTTGGGGCGCAGCAGACCAATGTAGTAGCTGCGGTCGCCCACCTGCCGCCCTGGCCCCGCGTTGCCCGAGCGAGTTGCTGCACGCATGCCTTCGAGCGTCACCGGCGCCTTTGCGGTAATCGCAACGGGCTGCTGCAGGCTCTCACCCATGCCAGCCACCTGTGCGCCACGCATCTGCGAACCGGGACGCATCTGTGAGCCAGGGCGCATCTGCGAGCCAGGGCGCAGACTGGAGCCTGGGCGAAGCCCGCTCGTCAAGCCGAAGCCGCTGGTGCCACCAAAGCCCCCTTGCATAACTGATTGAAAATATAAATAGGTTTCTTCGCTGCTGTGTTGATTTGCTTCCTTGCAGGCCTTTTCCTCGTATCTACTATCACTACTACTCCGGTGTGTGGATCCCACAATGAGACAATGCACTGCGTGGCCAGCCAGAGAGCGTCGAAACGCGAGACACAACAAGAAAAAGAGGAGAAAACAAAACATTCATTGGCGTCACGGCATCGCACACCCAATGTTATAGTCGTTTCTCGTATGCTGTTCCTATTTGCGCCCACTGTTACTTATCACACAGCAGTTTCTCTGCTGTAAGCGCAGAGGGAGGGGAGCAGCACAAATTTACTCGGCAAAAAGAGACTGGAAATGGGTCGGAGCGAGCGAGAGAGAGAGAGAGAAAGAGAGAAAAGAGAGAAAGTGATGGAATGGGACGGAGCGTAAAGCCGCGACGGCATTGCTCTCACCCCGCACCCCTCCTCCTTCTTCCTACTCCTCATTGCTCCTTATTCTTCGTCTCTATTCTTTTGTTTTGTTTTGTTTTGTTTCTTTTTGTTAAAGCGTTTGTTACAATAAAACTTACGGTGATACCCCTGTTTCATATCTCGTGTCTCACTTCCTCCAGGATTGTTTCACATCATCTTTTCTCCTTCACTTCACTCCCTCTTCAGAACGTATATGCCAGCACGTGTACCCCCACCCACCCACCTGTTCCCGCCTCTGCATACCCATGCGTGCCAGCCCCTGTGTTGGCAGGCGTGTGCCTACGCCCAAGCCTCTGGATGTGTATGTATCACACCGGAATCAGTGCACCAGGTCACCAGGTCACCAGTCCATGTCGTCGACACGGCTGCGCTTCTGCGCCTGCTCGTGCTCGACCTCCTCCTCGATGATTAGTCGCTGCCGCCGCGCTTTGCGCCCGCTGCCGCGCCCCTTATCCGCTGCCCGCACCGTCTCCTCCTCATCCTCCTCGTCGTCCTCCTCGTCCATGACGAACTCCGGGTACTCCTCGTCTTCCTCGTCCTCTAACGCATCGAACTCCGCGCGGTCCTCCTCTTGGTCGAGCACGCGCTCAAACGCCTCGCGGCTGCAGTTCATGACGCTATCGTACGTGCCGTTGCGCAGCCTCTCCAGGAGCTCCTTCTCAACCTCCAGCTCGAGGCGGGCGGCGGCCTCCGCCTTCTCCTCGCGGCGCAGCAGCTTGTCCTCCTGTCGCTTATTCACCGAGACATACTCCACCTTCGGCTCCATCAGCATCTTGCGCCTTCGCATCAGGTACTGCTTCAACCGCAGAAGCCGCGCCTTGACCTTGTTCACGAGTTTCTGGTCCCACCACTGCAGTTCCTCGTCAATCTGCGCGAGTGCACGGGGGAAGCTAGAGTCGAGGCGCACCTTCTCCCACTGCCGGCGCGGCAGGTGGGCACGCTCGGCGGTTTTAATGTACAAGTAGAGCTCGTCGTCGTGCTCGATGATGGTCGCGTACTGCGCGTTGGAGAGCGGGCACACACCACGCTGGCATAGACCCGTTACATTGTATGGGTTGCGGCAGAAGCGGACCTTGTCGTCGTGCGTCTTGACTTTGAAGGAGCAGAAGGTCTGTCCCATGACATTCCACATCGCATCATCGTGGTTCATTGCTGCTGTGCGGTGGTGTACGGGGGTGGTCGACGGCTAGCTGCGCGTCGGCGTATACCTTCCTGTGTTTGGATGTGTGTATGTGTGCGTGTGTGTGTGTGGTGGTGGTGGCGCGGTGCGTTCTCGTTTTGCTCGCGACAGACGACGTGACTTTGGGAAATGTGTGTTGGGAGCAGCACGCAAGCCAAAGGGATGGTGGGGTAAAAAAACAAAAGAAAAACCAACAAGAAAGCCGCATAAATGAAGCGAAATACAACAGTCGCACAGTCACAGCAATACAGAAGCGAAACAAGCAAACACGAAATGAAAAGGAGGCAGACACGCCGCGCTGCTGCAGCATCACTACAGCTGCTGGATTCCTCTTGGTTCTGCTACGACACAGTTGGCGCTCCCTCACCACCGCCGCTGTCCTT